TCTTAGAGATCTAAGAGATTGAAGCCCATGTCCATGCTTTAAATGAGGTAATGGAGGTTCTAAAAAGTGGCTTGCTTACTTAAGGAAGTCAGTGGGTGTCACTAGATTTAGAGAGCAGGCATGTACACGTCATCTTCATGTCTGTCTCCCCCTAGACATTCATTCAGCAGATAGGCAAGAGCTGGGGCCATTACTACAGAAAAGGCCAGATGAGATCCCATCTCATGTGTTTTGTTGTGTTTTGGTTTATTGTTGAAGTAACAATGAGACACAACTAAAGAATTTGTTCTCTGAGCTGTCTTAAAAAAAATCAGGTCATCTTCTATAACAAAGCCATATTTTCATTGTGTGTGTGTGTGTGTGTGTGTGTGTGGGTGTGTTCATATGTGCTTGTGTTCACAAGTGTTTGAGACATCATGTGTGTGACGTCAGAGGACAACCTTGAGTCTCAGTCCTTGTCTGGCACAGGGCTTCTTGTTTTGTGTACACCAGGCTAGCAGTCACATGCTTCCTGGGATGTTCCCATCTCTGCCTCCTGTCCTGCCTGCCATAGGTGCACTGGTTTATAGGTACATGCTGCTACCATGTCTGACTTTCTGAGGGTGCTAGGGATTCAAAGCCAGGTTTTCATGTTTTGGTACATCACACCACTGATGGTAGACTTGAGACTCATGACTGGTGAGGTAGTGGGTTGAGGGAATTACTAGATGTGGTAGTGGTGGTGGTGGGGGGGGGGAATGAAGGATCTAAGATCTCCATCTGGCCAGATGACAGACTGAAAGGAGATAGTCCTTGCTTCTCCTTACGTCATCCTCCCTCATCTGCTTGAACCTGACAGTTTAACCAACACACAAAACAGTGGGAAAACAAACCAAAACCCCACCAGACTCTGTCTTCTTTAACTTTCCATCAAACAATTTTGGGGTGTGGACATGGGGCAGGGACATCTCATTCTATCAGAATGTGGGGACTTAAAGTGAAAATATATTTTTCATTATTTTAGGTTAAATGCTATTCTTTAGTGTTCTAGAACTTCTGGGGAAGTGTTAGAGAATTCCAAATATGTGATGAAGCTAAAATGGGCAAGGTGATGAGCTGGTCCCTAGTGCTTAGATGTCTGTTGTCCCTTAGAGGATGTTAGGGCTGGGGGAGAGGGAGACAATGCTAGTGTTCAGTCATCTGAAAGTAGATGTGGCTTGTCCTGAAGACTTTTACTTTTTGGCCCCAGTTAACCTTTACCCCAGTTCGGTGGTCCAATCTAATGGTGAACTTACCAAAGGTGTAAACCCTGGTCTCATGCTCTGCTATGGAAGAAGCTACATTTTACTGAGTACTATTGCTCCTGTTCTGTAGTTTTTTTCCTTTATATCTTTATAAATAAATGACAAATGGTATCGCATCTGTTAACTCAAGAAGAAGTGTTGGGACAACTTTTTATAAATGGAGCAGCTAGGGCTGGGGAGATGGCTCAGTGGGTAAAGTGCTTGCTATGCAAGTGGGGAGACCTGAGTTCCTATCTCCAGCACCCTACTAAAAGCCAGGAGTGAAGTGTGAGCCTGTGAGGCGCTAAGGGGTGGAGCTGAGGGCTTTGTGGCTAGCCATCCTAGTTGAAATGATGAACTCTGGAGTCAATGAAATCCCTGTCTCAAAAATAAATTGAAGAGAGGGAAACTCCAAGTGTCACTCTTTGACCCTACACATGCATGTACAGCTGAGTGTACTTGAACTTGCGCGTGCGCACAACTCTTATGGATTTACCCATTTATCATTTGAATGGATGCCAAAAAAAAAATCTATGGGCACATTTTATGTTACATTACCCCCCATCCTGAATAGCTGCTATTTTAACAAACAGCTTTTTGTTTTTTTTTTTTTTTAAAAAGGAGGTAGTTTTTTATTACTGAGTGTACCTATGGTACAGGAAAGGAGGGGTGTTGTACTTTTCTATTATTTTGTAGCAAGCCCTGGAGTTAAAAGGAACATCAAGCATCACCTCTTATGATTTCCATGGGTCAAGAATGCATCCAGAACACAGTAGGGTTCTCTGCTTCAGAATGGACTGCCACCTCAGCTCTGCTGGGGCTGGTAGCCCATTGCAAGTCATTCCTTGCAAAGATAATAAAGGGGAAGAAAGGACTCTTCTTATTTTATTTTTAGTGTGCAAGAGATGATTGCAGCTTATCATATGCTTTGGAGAAGGCAGCAAATGCCATCTTTTCTAGGAGAGGCCCCATTTGGGTTTCTGATATGAGGGGTTTTGGGAAATCAGGCTTTGTGGGCATTGTTTAAATTTTGGGCCCGGGAAAGAGCTGCCTGTCATTTCTATCCAACATGCTGCTATCTCATCAGAGTCTGCTGTGCTCGCCCATCCCCAAGATGCTTCATCCTACCATATTTTCACTCCTCGATTACATAACATCTTGAGGTTTGAAATCTCAGAAGGGTAACAGAGCATGTAGTGATGTCACCATTTTCCCTGTTTTAATTAGGGGCTTTATCTGTCTGTAGCTGCCTCCAAATACTCCATATTTACCCCTTCCAGGCAAAACACTTCTTTTGATCTGAGGAGTGAAGGGAGCACTTTGTCTAGAATCCCCCTCATCAACTTAGTAATCAGTCATCACTTGACCCAAGGGAACCCTTTCCAACCACGTGGAGGCTAAAGGAAGTAGATGAACTTCTGTTTGTGATGGAGGAGAAAGAAGCAGCCTGTTCTTTGTCTAAAGTGAAATTTTAATAAAATGATGACCTTTTGTAGATATTAGAGGGACCATGTTAAAGGCATCAAAGGTAGAAGTACTTCAAAATACGACGGTTAAGCGGATCATCATGGTACAGCATGCTATGGTCACTCTTAGAATGCTGACACAGCAGTTTTGTGTGAGCCCAGCTGGGTCTACAGCATGATTCTGTCTCACATCAAGAACAGCAAAGCAAAAAGATACTTAAAGTATCTTTGATATTCTGATACTTGCATAGAAATATGGAACAAATGTTGTACAGGGTATGCTTGCTTTTGTTAGCATTGGTTCGAGGTCACAGAGGGCCTTTTTGTCAGATGAATTGTGTCTGTACTGAGAGTTTCCTCCTACTATTGCCTCTAGTTATTTGAAAGGCACTGAAAGATTCTTGTCACATCTTAACACCCCTGTGAGGTTGTAGAGGTGATCCCCGTTTTACAGACAAGTGCACTGAAGCCTAGGTAGTTATGTAACTTTGCCTAAGGTCACATGCTTAGTTAGCAATGCTTTCTAGGAAAACCTTCGTGTTTGAGATTCTTTTGCCAATATTTGAGTAGCCATAGGCCTTTCTGTGAGCAGTTACTAGGACTGGAGAGCCAGTGAAAACTAATGGAGCTTCTCCCTGGGAGGGGCTTTTTACCTCAGGAGGCTTGGAAGAGAAGAGAAAGTATCTTGATTCTCCTCATTCATACCTTTTCCTTAGCCATCTCCCTCTCTAGCCTACCTCTTATAAGATGATATTCATACAGTTTTACTGTTAGAAGCTTCTGTTTGTAGCCCCTCTAATATTTTGAAAAAATTACTTTTAGGATACTTGACCTATATAGTTCTAAACCTGTCACTCTTGAAGAAGGTAGAACTCTCTTGCTATTGAAATATATTGTAGAGAAAAATGCAACATTACCCTGTATCCCACATAATTTGGCTGTATTTTGGTCATCTGGAGTTCACCGAATCATGTATAGATGCTCATCTTAGTATCTCATTTACTGGGTGCTATTCTATTCTGAGGGACTATTTCATTCTGAGAGGTATTTTTTCATAGTCTCAGTTCAGCTTAGAGATAATAGGAATTTTGAGTTGTGGGTCTTAGGTCTTCCATTTGTGTACATGTCTGTGTTGTAGTTTGGGCATATTTGTGTTATCCGCTGCAGCTCAGCACTATTAAGGGTTTTTATACCAATGGCTGATGGTATCATGGACACTCAGAGTTGGATCTGTTCAAATGCCGGATATTTACATGGGTGTCAGTGGATAGAGACCAGGTACAGTTGGGACCGGAGTTTACAAAATAACTGGGTCTTATGTTCAAACTAGCTCAAAGTTATTTCTTCATACAGAAAGAACAACTTTCTGCTATAGAAAACTCGGAACTCCAAATGTAGCCAAAATGACATCTCATAGATAATTACTATTAAGGTTTTTAGTTCAACTCATCCCAATCTGTTTGTGTTCATGAGCATTCATACATTTTCCTTATAAAAAATAGTATATTGTAAGTATTGTTATATTAAATTTATAGCCATCTTTATATGTTCTATAATATCATTTAAAAAGCTATTCTATTGAGTTTAGAGATGGCTTAGCAGTTAAGAGCACTTGTTGCTTTTTCCAAGGACCTGGACTTGGTTCCTACACTCACGTGGTGGCTCACAACCATGTCCAGTTCTGGATCATTCAACTCCTCTTTTGGCCTCTCTATGGGCACCCAGCATGCACATGGTACCATACATACATGTAGGCAAAACACTCATAAAATACAGGAATCTTTAAAAATCACATTTTACTAACTTTTTAAAAAGTCTATGTATCTGTTTAAACATGCACACACGAGTGCAGGTGCCCATGGAACCTAGAAAGGTTGAGTCTCTCCTGATCTGGAGTTATAGACAGTTATGAGCTGCCAGTGTGGGTGCTGGGAACCAAGTTTGAGTCCTCTGCAAGAATAGTACTTGCAGAGATAGAGATAGAGAGATGATGAGCCATCTCTCTAGGCCCTCCAATGTCATTTCTAATGCCTAATTTGTTAATTTTTTTGCTAACTTATACTTTTAGAAGTGACATTTCTCATCCATTTTTCCTACAATCTTGGGCAATCGACTGGCTGCTAGAAAGACATCTGTTAAATTTGTCTATTGAATCACCTCCCTTCTGACACAGAAGTCAGAAGGAGTGTGGTGTGTCATCTCTTGTCCTGAGCTGAGTACTGTGGAAATAAATGGCTGCTACAGAAAGCTCATCTGCCCTTTTGTCTTATAGGATACAGAGCAAGTGGTGACCAGTCAGTCAGAGTGCCAGAGTAGAGCGGGGACACCTGCTCACGAGAGCCCACAAAACAGCATCAAGTGCCAGGAAACTGTGCAACTTCAAGCAAGGTAAGCCTTTGTTCAGAAGTTACCCCACACCCCTGGTTTGCTTCTTAGGTGTGCTAACCTGTACGCTTGGCCACCTGCATGAGAGTCAAGGATTCCTGATTTTGTTGGTATTCCTCACAGTCAGAGAAACTACTTAAAGAAGCCTTGAAGGAGAATTGTTGTATTAAAGAGAAATGAACATCTTCTGTTTGAAGGTTCTAAGTTCTGAGACTCAGGGAGGGCAGTTCTGTTTGTGGAGGGGAATTTGTTTATCCCTTTGTTTTATGGCAGGAAAAATTTAGAGCTCACTTGTTTTCTCTGATGATGCTGACGTGATGGTTGTACTTGAATTCACATTGTGACAGCTGCTTTCACCTGAGATCTCATTTGGTCTTTATGAGTTCAGAAAGCTGTCATTCATAAAACCCATCACATGAAGACCCAAGGCTGAGAGCCTGATCATGCACAAATCAGAAGAGATGAGCTGGAATGTGACCTTACAGTGTGTGATCATGGCAGGACAAGTGTGGTCTCTGTGCTGAGGGTTGAGTGACCTCAGTCCAGAAGCAGCCTAGGGTTGGCTTCAGACCCGCTAGACCTCCTGGAGACAGCTGTGGATCCAGAGCTAGGATATGGGTGGAAAAATGCCTGCAGAAGGTTGGCATAGTGCTCTGACAGGAGCTTGGCACAGCAGCTGTCTATGGAAAGTCTCTTCTAGAAATAAACAGAAGAAAGAATCCAACAGCTCGCTGTATCAGCTGTCTCCTAGGACCCTGTGCTAGGATCACTGTAGTCCTCACTTAGGGAACAGGGAATGCTGTGCTTCTGAGCGTGACCTTTAGAATTTTGTTTTTGAAGGCAGTGCAGTCCACGTGAACAAGTTAAGCAATCATAGCCTGTACTATGTGACGGTGTTTTAGAATGTCCAACATACTAAATTTAGGAGTATGGAACCCCATAGTATGGGAGAGAACTTGAAAGGTGGTGGTCCACTCTCCAATTGGATTCATGGGCAGCCATTCAACTCTGTCGTGATGGGAATGTGGGATATCCCCCAGAGGTCCATATGTTTGAACACTTGGTACCTTTAGGATGTGGGGCTTTGCTGAAGAAAGTGTGCCCTTACACTAAGGGCCAGTCTTAGAGCCTCCACCCTACTTCTGTCTTCTGTGTGACTTCTGACTGTGGATGAAACATGACTATCAGTTAAGTTCCTGTCACTATATCATTCCCATCACGATGACCTTTACCCCTTGAACAGTGACCCAAAGTGAGTCTTCCTGCCCCACATTGCTTCTTCTATGGCTGCACTCTTCCTCCAGTCATTGCCGACTTTATTGTTGCTTGACCTCAGCAAATCACAGTTGGACTCAGTGTTATTTTCTCACTGACAAGGCCTCTGCCTCTCCTGTTTGCAGCATTATTGTCACAGACCTCTTTTCATCTGGCTTGACTGCCATTCAGTGACCAGCTCCCCCATCCTCCTACCCCAGTAGCCTGACAGAGGCTGTTCTCAGCCAGAATGAGGTCAACCCATTCCCATGCATATTTCAAAATAGAATGAAGCAAACAAAACCAGCCAAGCCCAAAGTTAAATCTTTCATGCTTGCGTATGGAACATGTGTGGTCCTTTGGGTGTGGACATTTAGCAGAGGCTGACAGGGAAAGAGTATTAGTAGTTAAGCTTCTTCAGTTCTCTAACTGTAAAACCATTTAATGTCCTGTGTGGGTTGGGATACTTACAGGGACATTTTTACTGGGATCAGAAAATGAATGAGATTCTGTGGTGATCGTTTGCACGTGACTAGCTAAGGAGCGAAAGTAGAGGCCTAGATGGCTCCATGAGGGTCCATGTGGAGCAGTGGTTTTTAAATGATTGGTTGAAAAGAATGATATACACATACATACATATGTGTAAGTCTCTGGAATGCTCCCATATTATTTCTTGATTCTGAGAAAAAAAGGTACTGAATGCCCTGTAAGCTTTTCTCATTAAGTGAAATAGTGTTGCAGCTCTCAGCAGGTTCTGTCTCCTCTCCATGTAGCAACCCTCCATAGATCCCAAACACCTTGTCATGCATTCTTCCTTTTGGTCCCCACTTTAACCTTTTCACAGGATAGCTTTCTGAGCTGGTGGCAGTCCAGAATGTTCTATGCACTGTACTGCTTGCTGTCAGCAGTCATAGGATCTTGTGCTAAGTCTCAAGTCAGGAGCAACATTATGCCAGTTAAGACTAGACTTGTTTGGTTTCTTAGCTGGATGAAGCTGGTAACCTTCAACTATGGAGTCATTTATCACAACCATGGTGGTGTCACCCAGGGACATTCTAAGTGGAACTTTTAAAAACCTCAAAATATTACAGGGATCATGAAATGTGATGAATGGGTGAAATGAGATCTGTGGCTAAACATGTCTTTGAGTCAGGTAGCCTGTATTCCTCATAACATTCCTTGTCTGTGTTATCCCAGTACATGGCTAGTTTCTGACATATGAGAGTAGAGTTGTCGTTGTCATCATGATTTTTGTTTTCTTTTTAAAAGCTTACTAATTTTTAGTTGGGTAGTGGTAGTGCACGCCTTTAATTCCAGCACTCAAGAGACAGAGGCAGGCCAGTCTCTGTGAGTTCGAGACCAGCCTGATCTACAAAGCTACACAGAGGAACCCTGTCTTGAAGATATATATATATATATATATATATATATATATATATATATATATCCAACTTTTAGTTATTATACATAAATAACTAAATGGGCTTCAGTATGATTATTCCTGTGTATCATCATAATACTTTGGTCATATTTACTCCTCTCCAATATCACTCCTGCCAACCCCCCTTGTGCCCTCCTTATTGTCATAGTCATGTGTGTGTGTTTAAATCTTGATTCCACCTGGAAAGAAAATGTAATAGTTTGTCTTTCTTCCTTCCATGTCATATTAGCACTTGGGGATAGGGAACCTCAAGTGAGAAATGGCTTCCACTGGAATTGTCTATGAACATGTTTGTGGGGCATTATTCTTGATTGGCCCAGGCCCTCCCACATCAATTAGCACTATGGGACATAGCATCTTTAGGCAGGTGGACCTAGGCTGTTGAAGAAAGGTAACCAAGCAAGCAGTGTTTCACCAAGGTGTCTGCATCTGTTCCTGCCTCCAGGCTCCCACTTGGAGAACCTGCCTTAGCTTCTCTCGATGATAGACTATGATAGGAATGTGTAAGCCAAATAAACTCTTTCCTCCCATGTTGCTTTAGGTCATGTTGTTTAACATAGTAACAAAAAGCAACAAGGCATCCAATATCCTCTCTTGTTCTCCCTTAAGTCTCTTCTTTCCCCAATAGTTTCCTCTATTTTGGTGCCATATATATAAATATATATATCCATATATCCATATATATATATGTACGTGTATATAGATGCTATGTGTGTATATGTGCATATACATATGTGTATATGTATTTGAATCTAAACTCTAAGTATGAGAGAAAACAGTGTATTGTCTGAGTTTGGCTTATTTCGCTTGACATGATCTCCAGTTTCATTTGTTTTCCTGAAGGTGACATAATTTCCTTTTCTTTATGGCTAGATAAAATTGAATACATACTGCATTTTTCTTTGTCATTCATCTGCAGATGGGCATCCAGGCTGGTTTCTCTTTGTAAGCTATTGAAAATAGTGCAGCAATAATCATGGATATGCAGTAATGATGGATATGCAATAATAATCATGGATATACAAGTATCTATCTCTATGGTGTGTTGACTTGTTTTGTTTTGTTTTGTTCTTTTTAGTCCATTGGGTCTATTTATAAGAGTGGTATAGATGTTAGTTTTACTTTTAGGTTTGTGAGAAACCTCACTCTGATTTCCATAGTTGCTGCACTAGTTTACATTAATATCTACTACTAGTGTGTGTGAGTTTCTCTCCCTATATCCTCATCAGCATTTGCTGCCATTTGTTTTGTGTGTTGTGTGTGAGTGTACATGTGTTTGAATGCATGTGTATGTGTGTATAGGTCCTGAAGAGGCCAGAAGATGGAAGACAGCAGTGGACCCTCTGGAGCTGGAGTTAAAGACTGTTGAGAGTGGCCTCACATAGGTGCTGCTAGCCAAACTTGGGTTCTCTGCAGAGCAAGCAAACACTGTTAACTGCTGAGCCAACTCTCCAGCCTGAATCATTTGTTTTCTTGATTGTAACCATTGTGACTAGAGTGAGATGAATCTCAATATAGTGTTCATTTGCATTTTCCTGCTGGCTAAGGGTGTTGAACATTGTTTTCATACATTTACTGGTCACTAGTGTTCTCTTGAGAACTGCCTAGTCAACTTATTTCCCCATTTGTTAATGAAATGATTTTGTTTTTTTTTTTTTTTAAATCTCTTCATATGTTTTAGACATTCATACTCTGTCATACATCTTTCTCTTATCCTGTCAATTCTCTTTTTGCTTTGCTGATTGCTTCCTTTGCTGTTAATTTCATGAAATCCCTTTTGTAATTATTTCCCAAGGTATTAGCCCTTAAAGCTTGAAGTGAGCTGCAAGTAGTACATAAGACCTTTGATTTGGATTTTTTTTTTTTTTTTTTTTTTTTTTGTATAAGCAGGAAGCCGAGGGTTCTAGTTTCATTCTCTTCCATGTGGATATTCAGTTTCTCCAGGATCATGCATTGAAGACGCAGTATTTTTCCCAATGTACATCTTGACAGAGTTCTTGCAAAGTAGGTGGACGTAGCTGAGTGCGTTTATTTCTGCATCCTTTATTCTTATAATCTACATGTCTTTTGTTTGTTTTGTTTTTACTAGTCCTGTTTGTTATTGTTACAAAGTCATGTGATTTGATCTCTGGAGTTGTGTGTTGTTACTGGTACCAATAGAATCTTTTTCTTTTGTTTTTTTCTTTCGTTGTCCTGGAACTCGCTCTGTAGACAGGCTGGCTTCAAACTCAGAGATCATCTGCCTCTGCCTCTTGAATGCTGGGATTAAAGCCGTGCACTGCCACTCCCAGCTACCAATAGTCATTGG